GTGTTTTAATTCATGTCACCACTCACGGCCGAATATTTTGTTATACCTGAGTGTTCTTTTTTGTGCTCAATTACTGTTAACTTGTGTTACCGTTTACATATGGTTTATTGTTCTTTATAGCTTTTATAGCTTTATAGCTCTTTAAGCTCAGTTATGCACACATTCTGATTGGTTCTCACTTATGATCTATTGGAGGACAGACGTATAGATGACGTCATCATTAAAACTTTTTTTCCCGTATATTTTAATTCTTTATTATATAAAACAAATAGATTCCAAGTTACCGTGCGTCTGTTCAGTAATAGATCACAGATGACGTCAAAATGTGATAAGAACATCAGCTTGGAATCTATTTGTTAATAAGACAACTAGAAGGTTGGTTGGTTGTTGTTGTTGTTATTGTTCTTGTAAAAGTGACAGTGAAAGTCACTCTGAGAGTAGTTATGTCCAAAAGCACGTCAATTTCATTAATGATACAATATTTGACGGAGCGTCAGGGGCAGGAAACTAGTCTTCACAACAAAATCATTTTAATAGTGTGACTTGTGAGGCTAAAAGTCCGAGACATTTAACGATTGTAGGGAAGGGAGCGGTGTTTGAATAAAACTGAGAATTTTAAAAGGAAAGGGGGGAATATAGTCTCCTTCGCAGCCGTTCTTAGAATCGTCAAGCAACGCTCCAACCCCTTCCACCCCCCCCCCCCCCCCCCCCCCCCTACTACGAGGGGCTGTTTACTTTTAAACTATATTCCTTGGAAAGGCTGCGAAGGAGGGTAGAAGGAATGGGGCACTCGCCATTTTCAGGCAAGGAGAAAGAGGGCCCTTGCAGTATCAGACTACCACCTTGTAAAAATGACAAGCCTCGTGTTTCGTTTAGTGTTTGTTGGACAAACACAATTTAAAACTTTCCAGAGAAGAAAAAGACCGTTTTCGAGTTGTGCTGCATTATGACAAGCCTGCCGGGTTATAAAATTGCAGTTAATGCACGTTTCCTGCCTTGTATCACCAGTGCAAAAGGGCAATTATTGTGTTGACAAAATTCCAGGTGAGTTAAAATTTCATTGTCATCTTTGTTAGGATTTTGTGCGCTCCGTTAGCCATCAGTTGCTTGAAAAACCATCGCAATCCGAAAGTTGGCGATTATATTCGGTTATACCATATTGACGATTTTACCACTCGAAGTCGCACCAAGAAAAAAAACACTCGGATGAGGTTTTGCCCCTGGAAAACCAAGCTGAAAGGGGACTTGATCCGGAAACTCCGATACGAAAATACCACTCGAAATGCAACCGTCAAAAATCCAGCTCGATCTAAGTGTCGTGTCCGACTTGAATACTGTGCGGATACCTCGTTGTTGTAGCCAACAGCGAAGAGGCTCTGACACACCTTTGACGACAAAAGGACTCTGTCAATCCAGCTAGACAGGACAGCGTGGTTTACAGGATTCTCTGTGAATGCAGCAAAATATACATTGATGAAACAGGAAAACCTATGCAAGAGAGGATTAAAAAGCAAGAGAGGGACATGCGTTAACCCGTACCCAAACCTCCGCCGTTTCTGAGCTCGCCAAAAAGACCGGCCACTACCCGCTTTGGAACGAAGTAAAGTTTATTGATCGAGACTCAAACTGGTACACCACAATAGTCAAGAGTTTATCCACATAAGACTTCACCCTCGTGACATTAACAGGGATAACGGAATCGAAATTCCTGAGGCATGGATACCAACGATCAAGAAACACAACAGGAGACCGGTACGACAGCAAACCGCCGAGGGAACAACATGGAGTCAGACGACAGAAAACCAGAACTCACCGGAACAATGGGGATCGAAATCCGCCAATCGCATCAGATCGCTGAGATACAAATGGTAACGCGTGAGTAGTCGACCCCATTGCTTGATGAATACTAACTGTAGGCTATCGAAATGTTGCGATCTACATCTTAAGTGACTACATCGTGAGACAAACGATTTAACAGTTTCATTATCATCAAATTTTATAACCTAAATAATAATTATAAATATTATAAGCAAGTCCCCTCCTAATTTACACGATGGTGTAAATCTCTATGTACGCAAGGCCGTGCAAATATGACATTACGTGGGAACTTTCACTTCAGCTGCTAGTTCCCATCGAGTTTAGCCGCAAGAAGTTGACAAGTATGAACGGCAAACTTACAATTTGCTTTGAGTTTTCTGGAGTTGTAAAACTTGCGAACAGAAGTTACTAGCTAGACCGAAGGTAAATTATATTTCAAGAACTGATTTACTTTCTAATTTTTGTTTGACTAACGATTTGAGGCTGAAAATAGTGTCCAAATTTTAGACTGTAACGCTACACAATATCTAGTTGATGAGTAAGAAAGTTGTCAGTGAAATGCGGCCGATTACACAAAAGAATACTGGCAGCAAAATGTAAGGTGCTCACAAAGTTGTAGTTTATCAGTCTTACGTTTCACAAGATTTTTTTTCAAAAGAAAAAGTGATCTTATTTCCTTGTCAATTTGATTTTGGCCAACTTTGATTCACAGTTTTCATGTGGTCAGCTCGTTTAGTAGACGAATTTGTGTAAATCGATCATCGGGAAAGGCTGTATCAGTAAGATACCCTTATCCTTTAAAAGGATACGTGTTACTAGGCCACGTGTTGCTAGGCCACCAGCGCCTTGGATGAAATGTCCCAACATTAAAGACCTACAAAAGGAGAGAGACACTGCCAGATATGAGGCCCACAATACCCCTTTTGATACAAAGTGGGACTACTTTCGTTCAGTAAGGAACAAACTGAAAGCTGCTATCCGAACTGCCCGTAAAGCTTTTATTGAGGTAGCGCTTTACTCAAACAAGACAAGTGAAGCATGGAAGGTCATCCACAGAATTCTTAAGCCTAACCCAAAACCTTTGCGCTTCAACCCTGATGAGCTTAATGGTCATTTTACGTCTACAGCGCAAAGAACTCTTAACGTAAATGCGATCCCCTACTTTGAGCCGACCGAACTGATCGAAAATCTCTCCGATGATTCGGATGACCATACTCGATTCCACATTTCTCCTGCTACTAGAGAAGAGGTATTCAAAGCGATTGTTCCACGGGAGCTAATCAGATTCTAACTACATTCATAAAGCTAGTGGCTGACCACTCGGCGGTTCCCCTTATTAGGATCATTAACGGTTGTATAACTGAAGTATACTTCCCAAAGCTTTGAGCATTGACATTCATGTTGAAAACACGGTATTTGCTACATTTTCCAGTCAAGAGAGTGGATAAAATGTGTTTGCCTGTTCCGCTGAATGCAATGGTACTTCTTTAAATGACTCGATCCATGCAGGAACAAAAATTACACTAAAATCTTTTAACGTCCCTTTCCCTTTCCGTCATAATTTTGTAGGTATCGCTTGTGAAATAAGAGAAATGTAGCTCCTATCAATATTCTAGAGACTGAAGATTCTTATATTTAGGACTGATGAGGTAATGCTAAAATTCAAAGACTGCAAAATTGAAACAAATTGAATCAGTTCTACAATATTTTCAGTACACTTACAAACAAAGGGACTTTGCCTCCTGCAATGAACGTCCTTCATTTTCCTTTTTCTTTTCCTGTGTATCTTTCAATTAATTTTTCTATTGTTTTCTCATTTCTGTATTATTAAGTTATCTAAGTTAAGTTTAATTTAGTTATCATGGGAGGCCCCGAAAACGTGGCCATCCGCATTACAACACATGCTAATTCTTTGCTTATAACACTCACCTTATCAATTTATTTGCTCATTAATTATTTCAATTTTTGTTTAAGAAACGCCAAATTGAGAAACACTGCCACCCCTCCCCTTCCTCCTTTTGCGGTACCAAAAAAACTCTCTACGCTGACGATTTCTGACACTTTTCCGAAGAGTTTCCAGACTATCAAGCGGTGACAGTGGCGCGCAATAGGAACTTGAGAGGTTATCAGAGTCGAGGGTTCGAAGCATGCCTAAATTGTTTAGGTAACCAAATGACTCCCAAACCGAGATTTGGAATCGGTTATTAAAGAATTAGTCTCGAACTGCCTTAGGGACCGAGTGAGTCCCTTCAAGGATATTTCTTGTGCTAGCTTTAAATTCCTTTCTATCGTTTTGTTTCCAGTATTTTGTCTTTTTGGTCACTTCAGTATTTTTCTTTCGCAGTTAAGAACGATTCAGCTACTTTTTTTCGCATGACATTTCATCTAAGCTAATTTTTTGGACATCAATGGAAACTGTCGATGTGCAGTTGGTAAACACGAATTAGGATATTGATTTGAGAAAATTTTCGTTAAAATGTTGACATGTTACTTTATTTTCCTCGTCATTTTACGTCGTGTAAATGTAACAATGGCATACGGCATGGCCTCAGTAAGAGATTTTCCCGTTAAGACCACAGTTTCGGTTACTTAGTCAACTGCAGCACATTCTAATACTGTATTTCATGGTCTTTGTCTGTTTGTCCTGATGCCAACTGACTCCAACTCTCTTTTAAGAGAGTAATTATTTTAATTTGACTAAAATTAAAATTTTGGTTGTTTTGATGTGTCTTTTCCCTGAATTTAGTTAACTATTGATAAAAGAACATTCTGCGACATTTTTCTTTCAGCCAAATTCTTTCTATTCATTTTCCATGGTACCCGAGTTTTATCCCTATTCCTTTTTGGCACTATCGCTGGAAGCTCCTCATATGACCATGACAAGGGTTAACTGTAGCTGAGTTTCGAGGTATCAACCCAGTAATCGGATTGACACCCTTACGCACGCGAATGTTTCCGACAGGACTCTGTCCAACACTCATACCAAGTTAACCAAACTCACGTATCTTTCATTACTATTATCACTTTACAACTTTGTAAATATCCGTAACTTTTACCAATTGGATATGCGTGGGAAACCTACTTCCGTTTTGGATATCTCCCCTTGTCCCAGCCCTTGATGCTTATGCACAATGTATTTTCATTAACAAGACAATAATATGATAAAAATCAGTTGTTAGACATTTTTGAAGCAAAATGACTTTCTTTTATTTTTCTTTCAAGAGATGCTTTTCCTTTACGATGGAACTGCAAGTTCCTAATTACCTGGTACGCACCTATTGTTTAGTAATCAGAACAAAAATAACAACTCTGAACTTTCTTTTCACATGAACATCATTCGGAGCCGTCAAGAACATGAACCATGCCTTTGTCTTCCCCATACGGGCTGGAAAAATAAAGGAGCAATAAGTTTCAATAATAGGGATTGGGAAAAACCATAAGTCACATGCCTGAACAAAAAAGCCACCGCTTACTGGGAATTCTTCAAGAAAATGTGACGTAAAGTCTCAAATTCTAAATATCAGATGCTCTGATAAATTATCTACAATACTTGAAAAATAGTGAGGAATTGATCTCTTTACAGCGGAACCAAATAAAGATTTACTTAAAATCAACGATTTAACCCTCACCTTAGCTATTTCACTTTTCAAAGCAGAATTCTTAGATCTCTCTTGTTCTAATTCAGCATGTAACTGCACCACCTACCAAGATAAACTTATATCAATAAAATGAAACAAACGTTTGATAGGTATTTATAGTTTTCACGCGGCTTCACATGCCAAAATCAATTGGAAAATTACAATTTTCTTTAGAAGGCACAAGACCACTCATAACAATTTATTCTGAATTACTGTTGTTTTGTGTCTTTGTTGGTGTTTAACACCTTAAAGGCATAAGAGAGAATGCAGTCGTTAAATGCTGTTCTACATACACCCTAGCTTTGGCGCAAGCCTTTCTTCGCCCGCGGGAAAGTACGAGGTCTTTAGCACTAATCTCCGGCAAACCTCTCCCCAACTCATCTCAGATCTTTCAGCGGGCGGAAAAAACATGCGTGCGTCCTGCAGCGGTAATAAAGTGGGACTGCTCCCAGGCTACTCATGACGTGACTGGATAACATATCACTAACGTCATTTAAAGTTACATGGTTTTTCATGTTTTCATCATATATGTAAAGTTCTTTATTTCAATATCAGATTTACCGTATTTTTACAATTCAGTGCTCAACCTCAATTAAACGTCCCTCCACCCAAAACAAAAAAAAAACAAAAAACGAAAAAAATGAAATAACAAAGAACAAAAAAAAAAAATGAACTAATACTCCCCAGTAAGGCTCGAGCAGACGAGGCTAACAAGTAGTTTATAATATGGCACATGGACCAAACCTCTTTCTTTTGAATTGTCCGGCTTTCGCGAACAAAAATACACGGCTTATGACCGTTTCCGTGGAAACGGTTCGTGTGGCAAAATCCCGGATTTACCAATGGACTGCCTTGCCATGTAATAATCATTATGATTTCTTTAATGGGTTATATTCTTAAAGTTGACCGTCTATGGAACATTATCACATTTTGTTATTTTCTAAATAAATTTATAGCTTGCTAAAAATAATGAATGGTTAATACCCGCCCAGCCCCGAATAACCGCCCATTCTCACTGTCCAAAAAATGTTGTGGTTCTAAGAAAGCAAAGCGTCTTACTTAGTCTTGTACCTGTTCTTTCACTTCATTCAATTCTTCAATTTCAGTCAGCAACTCAGACTTTTCTTTCACTAGAGATATTTAAAATTATAATCCATCAATTATTTTTGCTCGTTCCCGTGGCCGAATATGCCCAAGCTAAATCTGGGGAGTACCCAGTGTTATGATCCATCAAATATTTTTGCCCGTGCGCGATTGGTTTCAACGCAGCACGTGACCGAATATCCTCCAGCTAAAACTGAGTCATATTCTCGAATATCACTCAAGCGATACTCCTCAATTTTCAAACCTTACGTCCATTACGATAGGTCTTCGTTTCAAATTTAAAGCACGATGAGAGAGAGTTTTCTGGCTGTTACAGAAGAAGGGACGTCTTTTTTCTTTAATTAAGTCGTACCACAGAATCCTCAAAAGAAAACGTCCCACGCTGCATACAGTAAATATTTGAAGGATAATAAAGACAATAGCCTCTATTTTGAGCGAATATATGCACAGATAGAGAAAGAAGTTTGTTCGTCTTGTCACGAGCGTGAGACAAAGAAAAAATTCTGAGTCCCCATGAGGAATCGAACCTCACTCCTTCGGATTCCGCGCTTCGATGCTCTTCCATTGAGCCACAGAGACTCTATGGTGAGCAGAGCTCGTTACAAAGTTTACATACGACAAGCGTCCTGCATAATGCGAGGATGCTCTTCTTCCTCTCTATTTCTTTACCGATCTCAAAACTTACCATCTTTCTTATTCTCTTTACAAAACATGACGCTATCGACATTGCTCAAAATATGAACTAAATTTGTCCTTGGACATCATCTATTCCCGTTACAGTTTTCCACGAGCTTTGCTCTCGGAACAGATAAAGTCCGAGGACAAATATCAGAGCATATCTTTGCGCCAAATGTAGGCTATCGTTTACAAAACAATCCATAATACAATTGGACATAATATTTTAATTACTTGTTAATGTATTGCACCAGTCAGTAGATTCCCATCTAATCAAAACTACAACAAAATTCTTGAACGTGATTGGTTATCACCATCCCGATTTGAGTACTAATGGGACAGTGTATGCGCAATGCTTCTAATTGGACAGTTTGATAGGAGAGTTGACAAGTCATGCCTGTGTAAGTGGACAGTGCTTATTATGTGCGCGCGCTGCTGTCGCGCAGTCCGCCGAGTTAACTGATGTTTTCTTTATGAACGTAGAACCGATGTCTACTTTCTTTTTCAAATTTCGTCAGTGTTTCATTGGTAATAAGACTTCAGGTCGTCCAATTCCGTCTGTAATCATACAAGTGATTAGTCCGAATTGGACTCCACTCAGTCCTATTACCATTATCAATTGATTTAGCCTGTCTCTGGAGTTTCTGGATTAACCTTAAAAATTCTGGACCATAAAGAAGTGTACGGTCTTGTTTAAAGCAACGAGCACAAGTCAAAAGTGAAATCAAACAATGCCCAGTTTCGTTTTCAAATTGAGAGAGATTGAGCGTATAGTTGAATGGTTTACAGTCAAGTCACCCGAGAGTCATCTCGGCCATAGTCATGTCGCCCGAAACCTGAGTCATGTTGCCCGAAATTTTAGTGACGTCGCCCGAAATTTTAGTGACGTCACCCGAAAAAAAAGTCAAGTCGCCCGTTTCTAACAAGAAAGGGAAACGTTGTTCGTTTCCAACAACAAAATGTGGCGTTGAGAAACTTTATCTTGGTTTCTAATACCATGAAGACTTTGACTACACACAAATCGATTGTATGATCAGAATTGAAATAGGTTTGAGTAACGACTCTAAAAAAACGTTCGTTTCTAACAACAAAATGGAGCGTTGTTTGTTTATTATGTACTCGCTTCTTACTCACGGACCTTTCGAAAGCTTGAGAAACTTTTTCTTGGTTTCTAACAAAGCCATGAAGACTTTGACTACACAGAAATCGATCATATGGTCAGGATCAAATATGTTTGAGGAACGATTCTAAAAGCGTTGTTCGTTTTCTTACAACAAAGGGAAGCATTGTCCGCTTCCATTAAAACAAAATGCAGCGCAAGGACGTTTCGCACTCTGTCGATTCGTACTCGGTCGTTTAAAACCCTGATAGACAGATGTCAATTGTCGCGTGTGAAAGGTTAGTAAAAAGTCAAGCGAGTGACATACAAATAAAGTTCTGTTGTGTCGATTTGTGAGCTTCTTAACAATAACAAACAAATAAAAAAACCCGGGTAAACTGATGTCGACTGTCGCGTTCGACATGCAAGTAAAAAGTCAAGCGAGTAACATACAAATAGTGAAATGTCAATGAACTTCAATTTCAAACCTTTAAATTCTCTATAAATACGATACGCACTTGCACTGTACATACCGCCGATTCTCTATGCAATAGCTGAATAAGTAGGTAGAAAGGTAGTTGAACTCGACTACAAGCACGTCTGTTTAATGCGTTTTGCCAGACCTCAATATCATTGTTCGTACGCACAGGCTGTCCGTAGACGCTCCAAGAACTGGGGGAAAATGTAGAGCTTTTAATCCACTGCGTCGACATAAAATTTACTAGGTCTTGAAGGGCTTGGGTGGTCGCACGGAGTTCAGTCTTTGGAAAATTCCTGAAATTTCCTGGTGCGGCAGGTACGGCAGAACCATAAGGGCCGTGATGTAATGGTAGATACAGTCATCGCTGCTGTACGGCACACCGAGATCAAGGTCTTGAACCTAAACAAAAAAATCGTATTTACCGGTTTTGATAAGACAATTTACACCTTGGTAATGTCTTTTCCGTCTAGATTCTGTTTCGTTTTGGATATGAATAGGCACCACAGTTTCTTTAGAAACTTAACCCCTTATTCGTCAATCACATTGCCTCCAATGAAAAGCGCACCCGGTTATCTGGACTCCGGACAGAACCTCTCTTGTCGCGGACCACATAGCTTTTTCAAAGTCAAGGACGACTTTTTGAACAGATGGGTCTCTCAGTAGTTTAGAGACAATTACTCCCAGGACCTGTACAATAAAAGGTAACGTCACTTTTGATCGACGTACACTCAGTAGGTTTTGTTATTTTGTTGAAGAAAAAAAAAAATAAACAATTTGGAAGTTGCATTCAGAACATGTCAACTACACGCTAGAATACTTAGTCATAGAGACACATATGTCAAAAACTCGCCTTCATGTAGTCTTTCTTTTTTCGAGACGACATTAGCACGTAGACCAGAGATACTTGCTTGCAACTTTCGCCAGATCTAACAAAGGCATTTATTGTTAACAGTTGAGTAAAAGGACGTCGTACGAGTTTAAAGGTGTCGTCGATGTACCATGTTTTGGCTTTTGCCTAGAGTTCAAGCTGAGCTTCAACGGCAAACACCAGGTGACGTTTGTTTCTGATTTCGATGTCAGAAACAAGGAAATTCTCTGGTAGGGCGTCGTCGTCCAATACAAAATCGAGGTCTTCGCGATCCTCCGGCATGAGACGCTGGCACACCTTGTTAGCTGCCCTGGCGATGTAGTGTGGTTTGGTTAGCTTCCCATTGTTGTAAGAAACGAACAACGCTTTTAGAGTCGTAACTCGAACATATTTCAATTCCGACCATACGATCGATTTCTGTGTAGTCAAAGTCTTCATGGTATTCTTAGAAATCAAGATAAAGTTTCTCAAGCTTACGAAACGTCCGTGAGTAGGGAACGATTACATACCAAACGAACAACGCTTCATTTTGTTGTTAGAAACGAACAACGTTTCCCTTTGTTGTTAGGAACGAACGACGCTTTTAGAATCTTCATTTTGTTATCGGAAACAAAGAGTGCTTTAATGATAAAAATTTATCAACTTCATTGCCTATTTCAACGTTTCCCTTTGTTGTTAGGAACGAAGAACGCTTTAAGAATCTTCATAGTGTTGTCGGTAACAAAGAGCGCTTTAGTGATAAAAAAAATTCTCAACTTTATTGCCTATTTACAGTCTGAAATTCTGATCTTTTTAGTATTTGTTTCTTTGGGCGACTTGACTTTCTTTTTTCGGGCAACATAGCTAAAATTTCGGGCAACATGACTCAGGCTTCGGGCGATATGACTTCGGGCGAGATGACTCTCGGGCGACTTGACCGGTTACCTTTTTAATAACATTTAAGACTCTTGTTGTAGGGGCCGTATAGACATCCAAACCAATCATATGCAAAGACATTTTGCTTTCATCAACTGAGTTGATAGAGAGATTTACAGCCGACGTTCGAGCGTTAGCCCTTCGCCATTCGATCACTCCGACGAAGGGCTAACGCTCGAAACGTCAGCTTTGAAACTCTTAACGGTGGCCAATTTACATTATCGACTCAGGTGATAAAACCAAACCATCTTGTTTTGCCCCCCACCGAGGCAGCACCACAGTTTCTTTAGAAACTTAACCCCCTTATTCGTTAATCACATGCTAGTTTGCAGCAGAGGAAGCCCTACGGGTTTGATTTATCACATGCTTTAATAAGAGATCACCCCTAATCCTCCAAAAATTGTCATTGATGATGACAGTTAGACAGCCTCCTTGCAATACTTGTGGAGTTCATTTTTCTATTCTTCAGCTACATGAGCTAGTTAAGATCAGAATATTCTCATAAACTTGTCATTTGTAAAATTAGTAACTAGCAGCCATATAAATAACAAAATATTTAAAGGACTTTACTTACTTTCTGCTTGGCTGAGGATGAAACACAATTGCTTATTTCTCTTTTTCACTTGAAGCAATTCTTTCTAAAAACACATAAATCAAAATGGACTAAGTATCCGGAATATTAAAAAGTTTATCATGAATTAACACCACACATCATCAATATAATTATCATAATAATATAACCACTTTCATTGTTATAATTATTTTATTATAAATAATGTTATAATTATAAAAGCTAAGTTTTTCGTTTGTCTCACGATGTAGTCACGTGTGATGTAGATCGCGACATTTCGACTGCATACTGCTAGTCTTCTTCAGGCGATGAGTCGAGTTCGCCCCCAGATTGAGTCATGTCTAAATTAGTTGCTATTGAACATTGCAAACAAGTTAGAACCAAGACAACTTTTGAATTTTAATTGACCGACGGCCATTTTGAAAGTTTATATGTGCGTGGGAGCTAGGGCTACCGGAAACAAGAAATGTGGTCAAACAGTGAAATACAGAGAACTTTCGTTGGTTATAGATTGGGTGGCTCCTACAGGAGCCGTTTTTGTATTTGACCGAACCGAAAGGTTACAAGGTCGTTCGACGATCGGGTTGCTAGCAATCTCGCGGCCCGTAGAGTTCGGAGCAGGCTCGCAGAAAAGGTTGTGGTTATTCATCGTGGTGAATAACAATAAAAGCTAAGTTTTTCGTTTATCTCACGATGTCACGTGTGATATAGATATAGATATTAGAAACCAGAACAGATGAAAGATGTTTTTTTCTCCTCGGAGATGACAGAGGGTTTAGTTACGAGACGTTTGGCGCGCTCGTAAAGGCACTTAACAATACGGCGTTATACTGATTGAATCATACGCTAAGTATTGATCGGTGTGCGTGGGCTTCCTGTATACGCTGGTGGTGAGGCGGCCGTCAGGTTCTCTTAAAACTGCGGTGTCTAGGAAGGCGAGTCTGTTGTCTTTCTCTGTCTCCATGGTGAAGCGGATGGAAGGCTGCTGGTTGTTTAAATGCTGTAAGAAGGCATCAACGTTTTCGCGATCCAGGATGGTAAAGGTATCGGCCACGTAGCGTTCCAGATCCTAGGCTCGTAGAATGATGTAGTTGTCGCCTGTTCTTCGAAACTCTCCATGTAGAGGTTAGCAATAACAGCGGAAACCGGACTCCCTATGGCGGCGCCGTTTTACCAAAGGTCTGTCCGAACAGCTTCGCCGTTGCCTACAACAACAAGGCGTACGCGCTGTTTTCAAGTCGGAGACCACGCTAAGATCTCAGTTAGTACGACCAAAAGACGCTGTCGACCCGGCTAAACAAGATGGCGTAGTTTACAGGATTCCCTGTGAATGTGGGAAGGTATACATCGGAGAGACTGGAAGACCTATGAAAGACAGAATTAAGGAGCACGATCGAGACATTCGACCCGCCAGTACCGAGACCTCCGCCGTTTCAGAGCATGCCCACAACACCAGACACAAGCCACAAGTCACAATCAATTATCTATTATTATTATTATCATTATTACTATTATTATTATTATTATTACCATCATCATTATTATTACTACTACTATTAAAATAAACCAAGCTCTGTAACTACTTATTTTTAGCCATTGCGGTCAATTTGCTCGAAAGGACACATTATCAGAACAAGCTCAAGTACCAGCCAGAAAGAGGCCAGTGTATGCCCATGGAGATAACTTGATGAGTAGAAACCTTGAAGGGCAGAAGTAAAACAAGCTCTTATTATATTTATTACATTTATTTTAAAATCGCTGGTAATCCTTGTAATCTGACTTGCTCTCAATGGTGCAATTTATTCAAGGAAAGCACCATGTTTTGCTCTAAATTACATCTTTTTCCCAGCCAATGAGGACACTTAAATAAAATGCCACAATCGATTGTTTGAAGAAACCAATCAAACTGTACGAAAATGAAAAAAAAAGAATTGAAACTTTCTACAAACCAGCTCACTATCGGATCAACAACACATTTGCACAGACTACAAAATCCTTTATCTAAGTGACTGAATTGTGCGATTTCAAAATGGATGTAATAAAGTGGTAATTGAACTTTAAGTAGTGCAATTTTGGGCTAAAATCATACTTGTGTTTTCAAATCAAATTAGTGCTACCCACTACTTTGATTTTGAAATCACGCACATGATTTCAGACCAAACTGCACTCCACTGAGTTCAATTACCACTATTTAGTGAGAATTTTAGGCAAGAAACCATGCAAATAAAATTCTGTATGTGCTACATTTTCACATCTGAAAAAGAGATATGTCCAATCAGCTTTGAGTATTGCAATCTTAACATATCAAAAGTATATTAACCAACCACCACCCAGAGTAGAATCACTGAGCCAATCAGAGCAAAGTACTCAAATGGCATCTGAAAAGTGCAGTGTTCAAATCAGTACCCACTCAAGCTTTCTGTTTCAAAAACATGACTTTGGCTTCCTGCTATGTTCCTCTTGCTTTACTCTTAGAAGATTTTATCAAGATGCAATGAGTAAAGCTAACATGGACATTGCTTTGGTCAAAGAGTTTTTGAGTACAAAAAAAAAAGAGATTGTAAATTCAGAAGTGCAAAAAAGCCTGATAAAGTTCTGTGTGCATTCTTAGTGGAGGTTAAAAAGGAAGTCAACAATCCCTTCAGCAAGTCTTACATCTCTTTCAAGGGTTGAACATTTAAGGAGGAACATACAACATTTCTACAAACAGAGTAAAATCTGTCTCTGCACAGAAAGAAGTGCTGCCATTATATAATTGAACCTGACAGTGTTTATGGACAAGCAAAGAAATTCCACTCTTTGTATTAAATCTCTATTAGTTTTCAGTTCAGTTCAGTTATTCTGAATGGAAAGTGGTATTTAAACCAGTATGGGCTCTTTGTGTACTTGTTGCAAGACTGGAAACCAGATTTGGTCCTTTATTACACTCGGTCATTTGGATCAATCTTAAATTTTTCCTGTTCTGTGTGTAAGCTTTATCTATAGGTATCAGGAAAAATAAAACTGATTTCAAGTTTATGTTTAAGTCTCATTATACATATAATCAACAAATTACAGCAGTTTCAAAAGACAAGTGGTATTTAAACATATATCTCTCATTATTGACACTTAAGAATGTCATCTTAGTGCTTCATTGTAACTATAATATTTTGCTAAGAAGATTGAACTGGAAGTTTGCCATTGTAATTGATCAAGAAAAGTCCCCTAACTCATGAACTAGAAATTAGTGTTCTGCAAGGCTCTGTTCTTGGTTCAATTTTGTATTTTTTCTGCTGTATTCACTCATTTGGTTCTAATAAACTTGACCACTGTCACACCCTTCTATTTGGTGTTCCACAGTATGTTCTTGAGATGCTCCAATATATTCAAAATGTTGCTACTCATGTAGTATCTGACTCTTGAAAATATGATCACATACATATAATATCTGACTCTCAAAAATATGACCACATACATGTAATGTTGATCTTCATTCAACTCCACTGGCTACCCATTGCTAAGTGCATTAAATTCAAAATATTCTTGCCAACCTTCAAAGCCTTGCATGATGAATTTCCAAGTCATATTTAAGACTAAGTTTCCCCCAGATCCCTACAAGAAGCCTGTGGTCATCATTTGGCCCTCTTTTAAAATGCGTTTATTATAACCTTAAATCATATGGAGCAAGATCCCTTACTGTGGATGCTCCTGAACTATGGAACAGTTTACCTCTAAATTTTTTATTACATTCTGGTATTTATTTTTTTTATTTTTTTCCAAGTCAATGGTACACAGTAGATGGCATGACTATAGGTTTGCCCCTTAGCCAGGTGGCTCCTCAAGAGATCATAGTTTTAACGCTTTTCTGTTTCCTCCCTTAATTTTTTGGAAATATACACAGTTATTTTTTTAAAATAATGGGGTCACCCAATGTGAGCTACCTTAATAACTTCATTTGCCATTTTGGTAACACGATCATGACTCCATCCATTTATTAACTCTTAAAAAATTTGTCCACTGAACAACTGAATGTTGCCTTCTTCAAACATTTTCAACTATCTAATTGAGATTTTAAGCACTATCTTTTCCTGGTATTTGCTTGTTATTCACGTTAATATTCACTGTGCAGCAGAACCGCCTATTCTGTGGGAACATGTAGATTGCTACAGATCTTTGGGAAACTTTACTATATACAAGTTTGATAACAATATCACCATGATCAAGGTGGTGTTGCACATAGTCAGACATCAATCAAAACATTAAAACCAATAAATTCAAGTGCAGAAATTTGCTATACTTACTTTTAGATCTTCAATCATTGTGATATGTTCAGTCCTCATTTTCTTAAGCTCACTGAGTTCAAGATTTGATTTGAAAAGCTTTTCTTTAATGTGAACCATTTCTGCACGTAACTGGTCTTCATGGGCAGCTGGGAGTAGTTTCTAACATTGAAAGAACAAAAATACCAATTTCATATACCGGTACACAAAGGCCATTACATAAATTCTCAGTATATTATAACATAATACAGATTAACTAAAGCAAAAGAAGGAAAATGGAGGCATTAATGTAAGGAATCAGTAAAAATGCAGCAAAAGAGAGGGATTTTTTCACTCTGACCTGCCAAAAAACCATGAATTCCCACATTTTTTGTTTTCTTTAATAGAATAATTATTACACACAAACCAACTTTAATGCTTTATGATTAGGTGTAGAAGTTAGAATTGTTTGTTTACTTTTCAAAGTTTAATTCTAAGCTAATGAAAATTAACACTCTATAAACCATTAGCATTTGTCATTGACCACTAAAGAGTTAAATGAGATAAACTTTGTGGAGTATATATAACAGAATAATATCTATCTAAATTCTTCAAAACAATTTTAGCTATAGCAGAATACAAATTTAAGTAATCCTTCTCATTAAGAATAGAATTGCACCACCTGTTAAATGAAAAAGTGCTTCTTATTATCTGTAAGCAAACAATTTTACCTTAGGTAGAAAATGGGTGTTTTGTGTGAAAGGTTTGCCAGATGCATCATCCATGGCCTTCTTTAAGAATTTTGAAGACCAGACAGACAAATGCAGTTTCAGCTTTTGTTAAGAATACAAATACTGTACAATACACACAGCTAGTGATTGGCTTCCATGATAGTTAAGAGATCAGCTTTTCATTCTCAACATTTTATATTCAGCTTGCTGAGGTACTAATCTTTTTGTAAGGGAAATTCCACAGAATACAAAATCTACCTGGATCAAAGGTAAGAGTTTCTTAACACCCTAAAGTTTAAAATAAGATTATAAGTTAACTTACTTTCCGAATCAAAACCTCTGATTTTCAAGTAAATTATTATAGGATTTAATTCAATATTCTATATCACACTGGTCACTTGTTTTTATCTCTCTCTCTTTCTCTTCTTTGTTTACTTATTTGTTCATGTGAACAAAGAATATAAAAATTGGTGCTAATTCATGGACAACATTCCTTGCCTATATATGCAAATAATAAGACTCAAAGGTGTACTAATCTTTGCAATATTTTAAACAAGCTACTCACTTTTTCTGTTAACATTTGTGTAGAGTGGTCTGGAATTCTACCTCCATTATTGGATCTGTTTGAGAGTAAGGCTGACTTCCCAGGTTTATCATTCTTCTCACTGTCGCTCTTAACCTTTGATTTGATTAATAACTAAATCTTAGACTGAAAAATAACTGACACCAATGCTAAAATACACATCTATAGGACTAAATTTACCCCCTTTGGACAAGCATGTGTCCAAAGGGATTAGTTGTGAAACACACACCCTCTTATATCAGGCACTAGGAATTCAGTGTTTCATTTTGCATCAGTTTTCACTTCAAGCGTACACCAGAGATTTTGTACTGTTTTGTTTTTCTTCCCACCCACCCTCCCACCCTGGGTGATTTTGTGTGATGTTATAGGGTGGCAGAGAGGTTTATTAAGCATATCATTGGCTTTTGCTTACTGTTGGTTTGTATTCTTTATAAACTTCACACACAATTGTGTTTTATTTGTGTCAGGAGGCCTAGTTGAGGAAATGGTTTTTCATGTTTACATTTCAAGACATATGGGACTGTTGTTCTTTAACACAGTAATTTATCAAACAGTAACTGTGGGTGGCTTTATTTAGAAAAATTACTGAAACAGTGAGAATTTGAGGTCACAAACATACATGAACACTTTCACCAACTGATTGGCAGTATACATCACTTCCTATTACTGCATGCATGCAATCCTATTTGTTCAGTAATAAAAGGGTTACTCAATTCGTAGCATTATATTTATTGAGACGCAAAAGGAATGAATTTGAAATATTACTAACATAAAGTGATGCATACCCAGAAAACCTTATTGCCTAAATGAGATAAGCAGTATGCAGTTGAATGCATCATGGTCTAGGAAATTAAGAAGTATAAGCTTATAAATTTTGATTTTCATCTTGTTATTGCCTATGAGAAAAATAGAAGTAACTTCCTCATTGTGAAAAGATGTTTTTTCATCTTGTCAAAAGCATGGGACAAAGAAAAAGTTTTGAGTCCCCATGAGGAATTGAACCTCAGACCTTCTTATTGTTTGTGACTGCATGTGAAACTGGGTCAAAAAAGGAGTAAATTTGGTAAACAGCAAGACAACTTCTATAAACTTAATCAATTTGCGCAAATTTGAATGTGAGGAGCAAGAGAGTTGGAGACCAAGAGACCAGGGGTATATAGATCAAAGTGATATGAGCTATCAGAATCAAATGTTCAAGATAACCCAAGATAATGGCATGAGTGATTCATAATTGGCTTTGGTTTGCACAAAAAAACAAGTTTCCAACAATTTCTTTGTGTTTTTCAAGTAGTGCCTGTTTTCCTGCTACGTCAAAAAGTAAACAGCTAAAAATTCATGAAAAATTTTGTTGTAAAAAAAACCCTACAGTGAATGATGAAGAATTGTAATTATAGGACTTTGTGCCAAGTTTCAGCATTTGACATAATGTTGAGAATTTTTTATGATTTTTTGAAAATCAAAGTTTTCTATGGCATGTAGTGCTTGATGGTGGATAAACAGAGTGTGAGTGAAAACTGTTTTAAAAACATGGGAGGGGCAAAATCAGACCAATGGCTTGACACTGAAACTTAGTTGTCCTGAAAAAAGGAACTTACTAGGCTCTTTTTTGAAACTAGTGGGCAAAATGTTGAGAAGAGATCAATCTATCAGCTTTGGTTTTGCTGACCAAGTTCTCTGAAGCCAAGAAAAACATTTTAACATCATGGAAAACTGATCAACCCTTCTTGATTGATGTACAGCTGTTATCCAATTATCCCTATTGGGATGTAACTACAGCTTTGAATTCAAACTTCCTGGCTGTATCTGTCCTACTTTTTGCCTTCATGGGTTTACACAGCAAAAGGATATTTTTTGCTAATTTATACTGACCTGTGCAACAGGTTATGCTGAAGAAGACTGGATGCTCATAAGTACCTTAAAATATTTTCTAACTTACTACATGGAACTTTCTGAGGCACTAAAATTTGACTTGCACTCAACAATCTTAGTATTTAGTACTACCCAACAAGAATTAAAGCCTGAATATGTTCATGCTCTTCTTTTACTGCAGTTTCTTCAATTGTAATTCATCTATACATTCAAATTTCTTATTTGGGAAATAATAAATAGTACTCTCACATTTTAATTTTTTTTCTTTCCCAACAAAAATGAAGGCTCTTTATTGTCACATACCTGCACTTCATTAACAGCAATTCCTAATTAGAGAAAAGAGAAAATAAATAATGTTTATCTATAAAATCAATAACCATCCAAAAGGAGTAAAAGCCCTTAAAAATAGCAACCCTTAATGAATTTTTGCTTTTTTACCATCAACAATAGCAATGAAAGGTAAAACAGGTTCCTTTGCCTGGTGATTAAAAAAAGTTATTAGCAAATTAACAATTGGTTCATATGTCAGCTGTGCATTCATCAAGATATGAAGCACTTGGGAAGTTTGGAGAGCACTCAAGAAGCTAGAATTGCTCTTGGCTATGCCTTGAGCAACTCTTACGCATCTTTCGTGCTCTCCAAACTTCCTACGTGCTTCATATCTCGATGAACGCACGCTGATGTATGAACCAATTGTTTTATAACATTTTCAACCCAATGGTTTGAATGTTGTAGAAGGGTTAATATTCCCTCTGCTACTCTTCAGCATGTTGATAATTTTGTTTCAGGAAAACATTTCACCATGCTGTAAACGATCTTGTCTTAGATTGGTCAAAAAACTGACAGGTGAATTCATGCGTGTAAATGAACTGTATTGTCTGATTGAATACAAAATTCTTGAGGGATTTGTTTGCTGACATCATGAGCGTGCACAATAGGAATATGAAGTACGCTCACACAATTGAATTTGATTAGACAAATTTACGAGCTATGTTATAAAACTATTTGCATCATTGCATCCAAAAACCATTATTTTTCATAGTTTCATGGAATTTCATAGACTTCACTATGTCACCACTTATTGGCAAACAATTGCTGTTATTCATCTGCAAAACAAACCTGAGGTACATGGCTAGCAAATCTGGCACAGAAGGCTCTAAACTTTTGAAAAAAGTGAGACTTTTTCAACATTGGTATCCCACTGGAATCATTTATAATTTGCACTTACTTAATGCTAGAAAAGAACTGTTTTCTAATTTTCAAATTCGTTTCTGAGAAATTATACTTTTTTAAAGATTTACAGTTCTACAGTATCCTATGTTTTGTTTCTGTGGTGGCATGAGGACATGAGCTCATTACCTTTATTGAGTGATGATAATTCAGATAAACAAATGATAAGTAATTTTTCTTTAAGGCAGAGGTTGCATCTTTTGTTTGTGCTGTTGTAAGATGATCTTGATGAAAGGGTGCTCCGTGAAATATAGTGGTTAATGTTAATGTCTTTAAGGGTCCAGACATGCTTGCTAGAGTTTCTGAGTTTTGTGTGTTGGAATGATGCGGTATGGTTTCTGTACCTAGTCTTGAAGTCATTTTCTGTAAGTCCGATGTATGTTTCAGTGGTGCTGTTGTCCTTGCTTGTGACAGTGACTTGGTAAATTAGAGATGATTGGCAGCAAGTTTTGGTGTCTTTTGTGTTGGTGTTATCTATGGTAACACTGATGTGTTTGGATGAATTTGGAATGCGTTTGTTGTGGTTGTCTATGATCTGTTTAGTGTTATTCATGCAGCTGTAACTGATCTTGATTGTGTTATGATTAAAGAGTTTTGTTTCTGGTCTTTCGAGAAGTGCTTGTTCACTAGTGCAAGGAATCTGTGTCCGACATTGGTACTGACATTTCTGCTGAATGGGGGGTTGTACCAGAGAATGTTGTTTCATTGTCTGTATTTTTGGTTGTTAGTCGTGGGTGGTTTGTAGTGTAGAGTGTACTGGTATCCACATTCGTAGAGTGCTTTTTGGTATGGCGGAGTAGCTTGGTTGAAGGATGCTTTGTCAGATTAAAGGGATGACAGTCTTTTGTTGATGCTGGTGGGTATGTTCTTTGTGGTGGTTGGTGGGTGGTTGCTCTTGCAGTGGATGTATTGTAGTTTGGTGTTAGGCTTTTTGAAGGGCTGGTAGGTGTTTTTGTTCAGGTTGAAAGTGATGTCTAAGAAATTGATGGTCTATTTGTTGGCTTCAATGGTGATCCATAGTCTATTGTGGTTAAAGATGCAGCATATTTCTTTTTTGATGTTTTCTGTGTCTCCTGGTGTGGTGTTTGAAATGGCCAGTCCATTGTCTCTGTAAAGTCCAGTGTTGATCTTGAGGTTCTGCAGTTGGGAAAGGAGGAAATTTCCTTCTAGCTTGCATGTTTCAGCACCATCATAGCTGCCCATTGTGACGTCAAATGTTGTATCGCCCTTATTTTGCCAGGGTTGTTGTTTGTGCACAAGGATTGATTGTTTTGCTTGTGTTATGATGTTTCTTTTGTTGTCAGTGATGTTATTGTAGGCTGAGGCGAAGTCGAGTGCTCTGTTCAGGAGGTACTGGCTGATGGAGAGGTAGAATTCTTCTATGTTAAAACAAATAAAACTGTGGTGTTTCTTGTTTTTAATAGCTTTAAACCACTCGATCACTGATGCTGTGGAACAACATTCTCTGGTACAACCCCTCATACAGCAAAAATGTAAGCAACAATATCAGACACAGCTTCCTTGCCCTAATAGACAAGCACTTCCCAAAAGACCACAAACTTAGAAAAATCATTAATCTTAACACAATCAAAATCAGTTGCAGCTGCATGAATAACACTAAACAGATCAAAAACAACCACAACAAATGCATTCAAGACTAGATACTGAAACCACACCGAATCATTCTGACACACAAAACTCAGAAACTCTACCGAACTCAGCAAGTATATCTGGACCCTTAAAGAAAATAATATTAACCACTATATTTCACGGCGCATCCTTTTATGAAGATTGCCCTACAACAGTGCAAACAAAAGATGCAACCTCTGCCTTTGCTGACCTGAATTATCATCACTCAATAAATGTAATGAGCTTGTGTTCTCATGCCATCACAGAAACAAAACCTAACTTTTTTTTTTTTTTTTTTTTTTTTATTTTCACTTAAAGCACAAATACTAGAGTAATACAAACAAATACAAAGTTAATTACCCTAACGCTTACGCTACTCACTAACACTAATTACGAAATACTGCATTACATTACATTCACAGTCGGCTAGATTTAATTTATGTTGTGGTTATATAATAATATAAACCTAATTTGTACAAATACTTCTACATCAAATTCCTTTTTTGGTAGAACGACTGTATATACAACTGCGTCTATAACTGTTAATACCCGATACTCATCTATTGAGTTACAATAACATGTTTTCCCATTTTTTATAATGAATAGATTCTTTTTTATTCTTTTTTGCAATCAAAAATTCAAATTTCCGAGTTTCAGATGTTTTAGCCTTCAGTAAGGATACAGACGGCTTGATATTTTTACAACGACATGAATAAATGGTATATTTTCCAAGAATGATTATGTGATTTAACAAACAATTCCCAGGGTTATTATCGGAAATACCAAAGAGGATTGTTACCTCATCAAGCTTATCAATTTTCATATTGTAAGTATTTAACCAAGAAATAACCAAAAGCCAAAAGTTTTTAGTGTAGGTACAGCTGATTAGAAGATGCTCAAGAGTTTCTTCGTGATCTCCACAAAAGGTACACATCGAAGAAGGAGCCAAATTCATTTTCTATAGGATTTTATTGGTGTAGAGAATACGATTTAAGATTTTGTATTGAAAGGCTCTCGTTCTGGTGTCAAGAGTGACTCGACCCGGCAATAGATAAATATTTTTCCAGTCTATATTACCTGAAATATTATATACGGAATTAAACTTAGATTGGGCAGTCGGAGACAAAACCTAACTGCATAACAATTGAAGTATTATTTTTATGTAAATTTATAAAGCATATAAACAATGGTACTAAAATTCTTAACAAAAAATCCTGATGAGTGAGCAATCATGAAACAGGCTTGTAGGGATGAAAGTATAGTCTCTCTGTTTTTTTCCCCTATCACAACATATATATATAATATATATATATATATATATATATATATATATATATATATATATATATATATATATATATATATATATATATATATATAAATTATATATGAACCACATGGAACAAATGTTTTCAACAAATTCAGGAAAGCATTCAACAGATGGGAAAATTAAACGGAAAGCTGAATGGGTTTAACAGTTGGATAAAATCCTGTGTGAAAAATGCTTTTTGCCCATTTTACCTCCTGGTATGACCATGTCATACCATGAGGTTTTGGAATGAAACTAAAATCACTGACACTCACTGTAGTCTGATTAATTTATGCATTAAACCTGGATTAAATGCATTATCCCCTGCCTCCCCTTTAGTTAGATTTAGTTTTGTTTCCAACATCTTGCTATTGTCTTTTGTTCATATGTCTGGGAAGGTTTAGACAAAGGTAGAAATTTCTCCCAGAGTTATGGAGTGATCAACAGAATTCAAATTGATATCTGTTGTGTCATGCTATATGCCTCAACAGCCTGTGGTTGGTTCTAATAAAATGAAGGACAGTGAAAATTCCATAATGAGAGCTCTGCTTTCAGCCCAGGGCTAATCTACATACATATACTATCTATACAGAACAAAGCAGTCTTCTACAGCAATTGTCAAGGACACATTCCTGTACATATTTCCAATAGGGCACAGTGCCCACCTAAATATGTACTCCATATCTTTTAAAGTTAGAAACATTTTTATCAAGCAATGTTAAACTTAACAAAATTCTGAATCTGACCTTTTGAATGTCTTGTACTTCCCCTTGTACCTACAGGAAAACCATTAGGCCAGGCAGGAAAATTATCAAGTCCTGTTTTGGAAGATTCTTCAAGCTTTGGTGAATTTATCCCCGTTGTGGATCTCATGGGTTGAAACTCATTAAATGACATCACAACAGGCTTTTCCTTCTTCCTCTCATCATCTTCATGGCTAATTGTCATTGTTTTCATCAATTCCTGCAAGGTATTTTAACAAATGTTGCAATACTTTCCATTATTTGAACTTTTTTGTGACTATAATAGGTTGCATATCCCAGAAGAATGCAGGAAATTCCCAAACCATCCATTTACTTTAATATTATTATTATTATCGTTATCTAATATCGTGAATGAAAGTGATCCTTGCAGTAATGTACACTACTTGAGCAGTAGTGAAAATACGGCCTGAAAAAAAAATTCAGGCCTGTATGAGATTTGAACCCATGACCTCTGCAATACCAGTGCAGTGCTCTACCAACTGAACTAACAAGCCAACTGGGAGCTGGTCATTATGTTGGTTCCAAATACCTTCAATTCTAGATTGGTTGTTCAATTCTAGATTGGTTCCAAGACCTTCAATTCTAGATTGGTTGTGGTGAAAATGAAAACCCCTTAAGACCTAAGACCCAAAAACGAAGACCCCTTTATTTTCTTTATTAAACATGATCTCAATACGGTTTCTTGCTGGAAATATCCACCTCCCCTTTAAACCTTTCTGGGAGCAATAACACATGCACTCAAACACCAGCTTTACATGTATTCTCTTAATTCTGCAGTCATCCCCTTAAAACTAAGAGGCAGTGGGAATCATGTGAGAACTACAGTTGGATTCTTGTTTTTCTTGTCGATTCTTAAACAGCTTTCATCTTTAAAGGTGATACTGTAATGGGACTTTACCCAGCTGAAGCAATGTCAAATAAAAACTGGAGAAAGACATTGTAGCTAGCAAAGTGTAGATTGATTTAAGGCTCATCTCTTCACAGTGCCAATTGATTAATTTGCCAGAACTGCTGCTCCACAGTAGTCTTACTGGCTGATGCCAGTTTGGCAGGTACGGTGTTGCCAACGTTCACATCCATCGCAAAGGAGGGCCTCTTGACAAGAACAACGATTTGATCGCAGACAATGCAGGAATCCATGTTAAAGTTTTTAAAAAAACTGTTTTTCAACGATTGCAAGCGATAGACTTATTGATAATGGAGAAGTTGAAGTCTTTCACCCTAGTCAACCTTCTTCTCTTTTCGCATTGTGGCATTGCCTCTGTCGGTAAAATTTCCGCACAGCCCAATACCACATTATGCATTCAGTTCTTGGATTGAGAGAACAATGACAAAAACAATAGATTGCCATTGGGAAAACAGATTTGTTTTACAATAGTATGTAATAGCATAATAATAGCATCTTTTCAAGTCTGGTTGTTATGATTAACACAATGTGATGAAAGCGTGGTTTGCGATCCTGGTTTGCATTTTCTCAAGTCTGGTTGCTATGACCTTAAAACACAATGAAGTGTGCAATGCATTCTCTCAAGAAGTGTTAAATAATCAAAAGCATGATCAAATCTTGGTTTCGTAAATTCTTCAGTCTTAATTTCATAAATAAAGCTAAACGAGGTACAAGTCTAACAACTTAAGCAATGCTGTTGCGAAGAAAGCATGGTTTGCATCTTCTCAAGTATGGTCGCTAGGACCAAAAACACAAGGAAGTGTGCAAGGCATTCTCTTAAGAAGTCTTAAATAATCAAAAGCATGATCAAATCGTGCTTTTGTAAATTCTTCAGTCTTAATTTCATAAATAAAGCTAAACAGGTACAAGTCTAACAACTTAAGCAATGATGTCATGATGAAAGCATGGTTTGCATCTTCTCAAGTCTGGCTGTTACAATCAACACATTTCGAGTTTGTTAGATAAACCCAGGTTGTTTTACATCTTTTCCAGTCTGAATAATAAGTTAAGCAATGTTGTTTTGATTATGTGTGGTTGTCTTTACCACAAGTTCTGTGTATACAGTTATTTTTGGTAACCCCAGATCCTACGCAGAGTGTTTAGTTGATTCCGTCAACCCAGTTCCCAAGCAGGTTCCATGCAATTGCCAAAATTCAAAATGGTCGTCGCTGACGTGACATTTAGCACATTCTGCTTGTGCCTTCATTACAAATCAACTCATCTGGATATCACTCAATCAAGGGGCGAACTCGACTTAATGGGGTCGAACTCAAAAAGTGTGGGGGCGAACGCGGCATAAGGTAGGGGCAAACTTGATAGGGGGCAAACGCGGTGCAATTCTTTCAGAGTTGGCATGTTGTTTTGAAAATAGGGGGTTCTTCCTTTTCAGGTCTTCTCATAAGGGTCTTCTTTTTCTGGGCCTTTTTACATAAAACCTGTTTTTGATTGCATGCTTAATCACTTCTATAAAAATAAAAACTGGCTTTATATTTTTCCAGTGAGAAATGATGACAAGATTATTTAAATAAGGAAACTAAATTGGTATTTTTTTTAATGTCTTCATTTTCAGGGTCTTTGAATCTAAATGCAGTGTTTGATTGCATGCTTTGCCGCTATAAAAAAAAAAAAAAAACACTAGAGCTGAATATTACTGGTGAGAAACCATGACAAAAGGTGTTTAATAAACAAAATAAAGTGATCTTCATTCTTGGGTTTTTGTTTTCTGGTCTTAGGTCTAACTTTTGGGGCTCTTTGTGGGTAGATCTCAATACAAAGTTCAAGAGGTTTGTGATCTGACCACATGGGTAGGCCAGGATTGTTTTCAGTGATGGTATATTATTCCAACTAGGTATTCATTGTATTTATTTCATCATTTTTCTACCATGGATATTTTCATCTGATCTTATTCTCTAGACCAACTCAACACCTATCCTCCTATATTTTCTCACCTTTCTTCACATGACTACTACCATCCCTGGAATATAGGAGTCACAAATTATTGCATAGGAGGCCATCATCTTATACTGCAGGCAATTTTAATCACTTTATCTTTTTCATGCAAGTTAAGTTCTATAAACAACTACTCTGAATAACTGTTCCATTTCCCTACTTCAATTTATGACTGTTTTCATCAAAAAATGTTTGATAATCAATTATCTCATACGCCAGTTGACATAAAGTCGGGTACACATACTTGCTTTTGTTTAGCATGCCAAGCATCTTGTTTACTTGCTTCCAAAGCTTCCTATCAAGAGAGGACACATCATCTTAAGTTTAATTTAGCACCCTGCTGGTATTATCATGTAGATGAAGATTAAATTGTTAATGGTTGTTAATGAATGTATTTCTGTCTCAGAGATTATTCATTATTTATGATATAACCTGTAGGAGGAAAAAGCTGCCAGGCCTTCAAACCGTCACTTTCAGGGACAACAGGTTTTAAGTTTTGACGACCAAAATTTGCAAGGCATATATAAAAGGTGATATTGGGTACACATTTCATTGATGCTGAATCTATTGAACTGTGTTTTCTCTCAAAGATGATTCTTGCTACTGTAATATTTGGCATCACAGCTCAACACTAGTCCATTTTCGGCATCATATTTCAAAAAGTTGTGTGAGTCTTACAAAATAAAATGCAGGCAGACAAACATTGCTTCAAGACAGCCAATATTAGAACAATTTAATTTGTAAAGAGGAAGTAACTTTCTATGGATCTTTTTTAAAAAAAAACCTGCTGTGAAAATACAACAAACATTGTGATTGAACTGTTTCACCACACTGGATCTGCTGGAGCCCCTTTGGTAGGAAAGTGAACAATGTCTGCCTTTCATCAACCTTTGAAATGTCTTATTGTAAAACTCTTCTGCAATGTCTGCCTGCATTTTCAAAGACAATACCAGTTTGGCTTTGACAAGTTCCGCCCAAGCACATTGAAGAGGACTTTGATTACATTCAACAGGTCTCTGTTTCCCTTGTTGTATTTGGCCAACAACTGTATTTCTACCAGGTTGGCTATCATTGGTCAATGCTGAAGACCAACATGGGTAATTTGAAAAAATGTTCCTTGCCTTCTAGATCAATTTCTAATAGATGTCTGTCTTTATCTATGGAAAGTTTATGAGTTTGAGCAAATTATCAAACTCCATCTAAACCACCAGCTGCTTCAGGGTCTCTATAGGTGCTTAGTAATTTTCATTCTTCCAGTATTTCTCATGTGAATTTTTGGGCATGATGCACTTTATTCCACATACCCCAAAATTTTGTGATAGACAAACACTGTTCTTGGGTTTTCACAGAAATGTCTCTTTAGAAAGCTTCAGTGAGTAACTTCTACTCGGCTACACCACAAATAACACAAATCTAAAAGGATGCTCTGGATCAAATTCAACCAGTTCAAATATATCTATGGGTAGTAATAGATTCTGTTGCCAGCAATTTTATATTTCAATGTATCCATTGGATGTTTGGTGTCTTTGCTAAACTTACACCAATTTCTTGTCATTTTCTATTTCAGGTACAAAAATATCTCACATTAAGCAAAGAATCAAGGCATCACTTCCATTATTGATCAACTAAAAAATGACCTTAATCACACAAACAACTCCCCAAGCATGATCTCCTCCAGATGTTCCAAGAATAGTGGCCAATATGACAGCATGGTGTGCACAGTAATTACATACTGAACTCCCCTTGAAAACCCATAAATACAGCCATGCATCACAAATTCCCATCAAATTTGCATGAATGTTGGCCATTAAAGTGCTATAGCAAATTTGGCTCTTGAACACTGTACAGCCCTTGAGTTATCAAACATTTCCATCCCAATGCATCAATCAATTCTAATCTTCAACATTAGCCTGCCTTAAGGTAACCTTCCAGGTATTTTAGCATGTTAAGAATTGGTTTGTTCAAATTGTCACCCCTAAGGAAAAAATTGTGTTCAAATGCCACTATTAATTTTGTTTTGCAAAAGGTAAAATCATTGATCATGACTTTACACACATTGACCAAGCCTTACAACCTAGACCTTACAGACCTTTTCTTCTAAGCCATGTGCTTGGAAAAGTGAACCTACAATTTACCCACTCTATATTCAAATATATAACACTTGCATTTCACTGGAAAGACTTGACACTTTCAGTTCAAATTCCCCACCCCAACCAGGCAAGGTTCAAATTCCCCATCCCTCAGGCAAAGATGATGGTCAAATGCTTGTGGGTTGCCTAGGGTGGGGGGATGTTGAAGTTTTGAATTGATCAGTGCATAAAGCAGTGTGTTTTGCCTAGCATTTTGGCATAGATAAGGAAAAAGGGTACTTTATTGAATAAATCCATCAGTAAATTTGATAACAGCTTAGCCAACATGCTGTCATACACTAATAAAAAAGAGATGTAGAAATTGAAAACTGCAGCATACCTTTAGGTCCCTTTGGAATTGACCAAGTACAAACTGAAGAGGAAATGAAGTACTTTAATCAGCTATTTAATCAGCAATAAACCCTAGGTTGCATCATTCAATCTTTTTTTGACATAAGTTTTCCCAATACTCAACAGAAGCAACAAAGGGGTGTGATATTCCTGTTAAGCTTAGTGCCACTAAGCTTAACAGGTCTTAACATGTTAGAATTTTACCATTGCAGTAGCTATTATGGTGACTCTGAAGATGAAAAATTTTTGGAATTCAAGGTTGACTACACATTTTAAAACTTTTTTAAAAGCTTAAAAATATGCACCTAACTTTAACCCAGGACTGATTAACATGTAAGTTCTCCTATAATATCATACAATTTTTTTTTTTCAGAGGGCATGGTAACAAATCCTGCAATCTGACTGGTTCTTTATGCAGTCTGTATTTTCCTTTATTACTTTTTTTTTTCAGAGGGCATGGTAACGAATCCTACAATCTGATCTGATTATTTATAAATAAATCTCGTTTTTCCGGCTAGGCAGTATTTTTGAGCAACAACGTGGGTCACTACCTCAAGCCAATAAATAACTTCTTAGTCCTCTCTTTTCTCTCTCCCAAATTCTTTGGTTGACAGAAAAAATATTGGTTTCATAATGAATTTGTATAAGCAATAGTGTTACTAACGTTGGTTGACAAGTGGCCTAAAAACCATCTGCATTAAATTTTAATTGTTCACAAAAAGTACCTAGAAAGTTAAAATGTGAGGCATTTGGCTACATTTGGTTCATTCATTTAATATCTGAATTTTCTCAAACAATTCATTTGTAGTGAAAGGGCAAGTGAAGTTTTAATTTCAGTCCTGCATCAAATATATGCTCTTGGTGAGTTTTTCCAAGTCTGTTCAATTTAGATATTTGTATCATACATTGCACAACAGAAACTGAAGGAATTCAATGAGAAAAGGCTGCATTAAATACCCTTGTGTCTCCTTGGAGTGTCTCATTTGAATTTAGGTTTTATGGAGGAAGACCAGATTTACACACGCCATATCAGTAAAGAAACGAGCAAACTCTCACAACTTCAAAATAAAAAATTTGAATTTATTTACAATTACTTCCCTCACCATTTACTTAATGAACTGAGGTAAATCTTCGTACATGAATTAATTGTTGATGAGAGTGAATAATATTTTCTGGAAGATCATTGTCTGTTTTTGAAGAAAACAATATTGTAATAGTCCTTGCCAAACTAGTTTCATTGTTTTTTCAAAAGTGTACATATGCTTTTTCTTTTCTTACACACTCTCTAATTGACAGATGTCAGATTGTGACAGACACTTGTAAAAATAATGTTTCAAAGTTTGTTTTGAAGCCTTTTAAATCACCTTTACATTATGCAAATGAAAATGTTTCAGTAAAGCATCTCTCTTTAATTTGCATCACCTCTATTTTAATTACTGTTCAGTTGCTAAAAAATTGTTCAGTTTATGAAAGATCTTGCCATATTTACAGCACTAAATCATTCGGGTACTTCCAGAAAGAATTTTGTTAATTAAAAAAAAAAAAATTACATATGTTATTTATCGGCTTCAAGGGTCAGTCCATATGGTGAAAAACTGTGACCTCAGTCTTGAAAATGCTGCCCTCAGTCACAGTATTTCACCATACAGGCGGCAAATAACATGTATTTATCCAACAAACAGGTAATAGGAATACTCAAAGATATCAGGTAAAAGCTATTATCCTAATTTAACACTAAATTCTTATAACTACTAAATTCAAGGAAATATATTGAGGTTAGAGGGGTCAATTAAAAATCAGAACTTGGGAGTTAAATGGTTACACCAGATGCTCAGAGAAATAGTTAATTTTGTAGCAACAGACATTGAAGATCCATTTGTCAAAGTATGTACATGCATGTACAAATACACACATATATTTATTGTGTTTCCTCTATTTTTAGTTAAGATAAGCATGATTTTTAACTGTACATTTAATGGTAGAATTTACATTTATCTCCTGTTATTCAATTTTTGTTGATGACTTTCTGCTATTACTATTTTCCATTCTTGACCTTACTTTTACTACTATTACTATTTTTTTTCTTCCCAGTATTTCAGAATTTCAGTTGTGGACCTAACTTAATATTTAAAGAATTTTTAAACATGATTTTTTTGTGTAATTTTATGTTGCTATGGTAAAGAAAGCTTCATATTCTACAAGGAACATTTGCAACTGAAGATGGCACAGAAACGTTGAAAAATGTTTGTTTAACTAAAAAAACGTCATTTCGTCTTTCAAAGAAACGGTAAATATTGTTTTCTAGGAACAACATCACATTATATCTGACATGAAAATCAAACCTGTTCATCTTTTTGCTTCCATTCATCCCAATCTCCACTTTGTACAGATGCTTCTTTACCACCTGAATCCACCCTATTCATTACAGCAGTTTCAGATGACTAAAATAAAAGAAATCATAAATTGAGGGTAGGGCTCAGGGAGGTTTGCTGATTTGAATGTTCCCTTAAGAAAGATGTCGATTGTCGTACAAATCTTTATATTGCTCCATACTTCTACAAATATGGAGATCTGCATCGTAAATAAGGTTACATTCAAACTTCTTTCTACAGAGATACGATCCTCAGCTTAGTCCTTGTGACAGAAGGCTATTCTATATTTAATTTCTTCTTAGTCTAGCTCCGAATGCAAACTTTCCAATATAAGCTATAATTTAATCCACAGGATTTAAAAATAAGTTCATTACAATTCGACCACCTCGTTACTTTTCTGTCTGCTCCTTTTCTTCTTCTTGCATTTCTTCTTTGTTTTTCTAGCATTTTTGCTGTCATCGCATTTCCTTCGTGCCTCATCACTGACCCCCTGGAGTTCTCCTTCGCTGTCATCATCGCTGACCTCTAAGGCAGCAAAACGACTTTTTGTTAATGAAGTCATTAGTAATTCGTCGTCTCTCATGCATTTAATGACTAAAATCGAGAGTTACAGCCATGCTCTCTGTCTCTCTCAAACAAAACATGCAAACTGTTACTTTCTTACATGAAGTACCACTTAAGACTTGACCACGAATCGAGAAGGAACACTGGGAACTGATGCTATCGAGGGCGTTCATCGAGGGTCGAACACACAAGTTTGTAGTACAGCGGTTAAATATGAAATATGTCATGTAAGCTTCAGCACTTGTTCCCCACGAAAAATTAAAAAAAGATCGTTCTTAACGAAGGAGCTTTGAGGTCCTGCGGCAGTTTCTTGATTTT